TAATACAAATACCACCTTAGTAAACAGATCAGTAGATAAAAACATATCTAGAATTATATTAACTGGCTGACTGATAAGCGGGGTGGCTCGACTGGTTCGACTAATAACGGATTTTAAGAATGCTTATTTAAGCCATTCTACTGGTCAATAGCCAGATCAGTGGATGATCTGGAATAATCTCGACTGATAAGCGGGGAGGCCGGACCGATATGGAATTGATTCGTTTAAATATTTGTCTTACTGTGATTGGTTTGACCGATTTCGACTGATAGCCAACTGAACTAACATAGTAAAGCTCTCTGTCTGAATTGAATGTTTGATGGTTTCATAGTAATTTTCTAAAGCATGATAGAAACTAAACTACAATCAGATGGAATTTATGGAAATCTTTTACAAATTCATACATTGACATGAATGCTGCTGTCCAAACTGTGAATTTTTTCAAGAGGGTGTATAAATAACGGATAAATTGTAAATGCTTGGCAAAGACGATCTCGCGAGCGACATTTCAGTCATTGATGTTCAAAAGCAAGCCAACATTGTTTTGAGTTTTATCAGCAGAAATTTATATCCAAAATCGTAAGTAAAGGACAACTGAAGTGTATGCATGAATGTAATATATCAAAGTCATATTATGCGAGTGTGTGATGCGATTTATGTTAATATGGTGTATGGTAAGCAGATTGATGCTTCTACAATTGTTGCCGAAGGACTTTTAGCTATGATTTCTTTGGTGCTTGGGGAATCTTGGCCGTTATATGGGAGCGAAATCCTACATTCCTGCAAATATGTTTCAATGGGCAAAATATCTGTAGCCATAAGTCAGTTGAAAGTTGAAACATGTCTATTTTATAAAAATTGTTCATTTTAAGGATTAGTCGACGTAACCAAAAAGTAAGAAAATCTTTGAGTCAAGTCATGTGACCTAGCCATTGGGTTCCATGAAATGTCAATAGACATGGAATTCAGACACAGCAGCATAGTTGATGCAGGAGTGCTCAGACGTGTGCTCTGAAGAGTGCATCCTGTATATGGTCAAATATTTTTCTAACTTTGACGAGTCATTGCAATTTGCTTTCTTTGGAGAAACCAATCACTAATCTTTGATAAGTTATAACATATTTGTGAAAATGCAAAACTAGGTTATGTGACAACAGAAAATATGTCTAATAGTAATACATTAACAAGAATACATGGATTGCCTTGTGTTAAGGGATTTGAAAGAAACATCAGCTGTGGTTCTTAAATTTTGACAAAATTAAATGCTGAATCTGGCCTTTTCATTGCTTCATATGATTTTGACAGGATTGTGGGACTAACTAATATGGCTGAGGGCATTTTCTGTTATTGAATATTCAATAAAATATTTTTTCCTGCTTTACTTACAGGAACAAGTTTTATCAGCAGTTTCCCTAATTCGTGGAAATTTGTCAGCTCAAAAAGGTAAGTGATGCAGTGCATCTTTTGTTTTTTCTTTGTTTATCTCAATTCATCCATTTTATTAGTTCCATCCTTAGTGTATGCATTCCTAAACTTCTAAAACCCAAATTTTTTCCTACCCTGTTTTAAAACCCAATTTTTGCTTTCCTTGAACCCAACCCTAACCTTATAGCTAACCAGGGCGGATCCACTTCCTTATCTGACTTTGGAATTTTGAGTCCTGAATGTGTGAGCCACTATAATGGGTTGTTTTGGGACATGCGTAGTACCAAAGATAGTATTTGGTACTACCCCAGATAGTATTTGAAGTTTCGACTCTTGGCAGAGATATTGTCTGCATTTTGAAGGTTTTATTTAGAAAAATCTTGGCCGTACCTAGGCTCAATAAATGAATTCATGAACTTTTATCAGTTTTCATTTTTATTGTGAAAAATAGTTCTCTTCTTTGGATATCTCTGGACAGAGAAAGCTTCATTTATGCTCCATCTTTGCATTGTTGCAACTCACAGAAAAAATTATGTCAAGTCTTTTGACATAATTTTGAATATTAGGGCTAATAATATTCATATATGCGCATACTTCTGTATTGTTTTGTATTGAAATCAATCATTATTACGAATTGTACAATATTAATATATAAATATAGCGCCCTTATTTATCAAGCTTTGGCTGCCCTTGTATTGAAGATACTTGTATCTTCTGAACCACAATTTCTGGTTTGTTCGTTGATGCTCTATTGCATTATGTCTCTATTGAATGCAGTACCTGGTATGCTTCATTTAATGTTTGCTGTTTGTTTTATTCACATAATCAGTTGGACAAAGTTATATTCCTAGGCAATGTTTTGTATTGGTCTCTGCTCAAAGATAAATCTATTTCCACTGGTGCACCCCAGTACAGATGATGTAATATGATGATCACAGTATTCGCAACTTTCATTTGTATTATGCTAATTGCCCATAATATAATACTTACAATAATTAGGCACTTTGAAAAGCACGATGGTTGATATAATTTTCAAAGTCTACTATTCCTGCAGTAGGTAATACAGGTTGGTGATGGTGAATGAAAATTTCGCAGCAGCTGCCTATCCACGGGGATTGGGCATGTCATGAAACTTCAAGCATGAGAGTAGAAAATTCTGAAGACTCCATTTCATAATATATTTCATAAAAGTATTGAAATGGCGTGTTTAATATGCAAGAAAACATTTTGTTTGAATATTATAGCTAAACTTTCAAAACATAGTAAATGTCAACCACCAATTTTCATTGTCTTGTTTATTAGCCTGCAATAAAAAAGGGCATATTAATTCCGATATTTGTTTAAAATATTTGATACAAAGGGTGGAGGAAAAATCACGAACAATTTGTGTAAATCTTAGTGGATTATGCGACTTATTGATCTGTTTACTATACACAGTTCATGGAAGACGGCGAATGTTCTCGAATGTTCTCTAGCTTATCTACACTGTAGAGATTAGAATGCAACCTCGCTGGTTCTCGTTTGAAATGAATAATATCCATATTTCATGTGGATTGTTCCAAAAGCGAATGTTCGACGAAATTTGAGCACCATTGGTTGCACTTCCTTGATTTGGGTGAGGAACAATTGTTGCCTGCTGCGATTTTTTATGAGTATTTTTCGGCAATATTTTTCATTCCATAAACTCTAACTATATTTTCGATCTAAAATAAGTGTTGCTAAATGAAATTTAAAACTATAAAAGGAGGTACGGTGTGTACATGTGGGTAGCGTGGTAAATGTGTTGTCACAAAATGAACATAATTCAAAAAGTAATACATATTTAAGTAATTTACATCAAACTTTAAAAACTGCTTAAGTTTTCAAAAATGTGCTTCATGCTCACTGTTTGCTGTAGCACGAATCATACACTTGCCGAATGTCAACACTTTGCTTGTCACGTTAAAGGTCGCGTGCTCAAATCATAGAAACTCAGGTCCTTTGTCACTCGACAGATAAATCTAAACGCACATGACTTGTAATGATTTTACATGGAAGCGTCATTGGTATTTCTATTTTTGGAGAAACGGTAGTGTACTTTTGTTATTTTTTTAATAATATTTTGAAAATACTAAATTTCTGACGATTTTCGCACATTGCAAGGGAGTGTGAGTATATCATTGTGTACAATGTATTTTCTGCTCATTTCTGAAACGTATCATATAACTTGTCTGATTTTTAATGTCATTCTAACATTATTTAAATCAGGGGCGGATCTAGGGTATGTCAAATCAGTCTCGCGATGTTTATAGTTCAGAAATTACTTATCAAATTTAACGATTAAAATTTTTTGCGATCATTAAATTTCTGATGTATAATCGTTTGAATTTCATTGTCAAAATTCTGTTTTATATCTGAAATCTTATGTAAATATCACGTTAGCAAACAGATCACTAGGTTTTAACATATCTGGAATTATATTAACTGACCGATAAGCGTGGTGGCTCGACTGGTTCGACCGATAATGGAGTTCAAGAACGGCTAATTTAAGCCATTCCATTGGTCAATAGCCAGATCAGTAGACGATCTGGAATAATATCGATCGATAAGAGGAGCGGCCGGACCGATAAGAGTGTCTAATTGCTCTCGTGTAATTGGTTCGTTTAAGGTTTTATCTTACTGTGTAATTGGTTTGACCGATTTGGACTGATAGCCAACTGAGGTAACATTGTCATGCTTACTGTCTGAATTAGTGTTGCCAAATCGTGAACACTGTTCACAGATTTGTGAACTTTTTGCTCTCTTCATGAACATTTTATGAATGTTAAAAGTTTGTAAACTTTTTGTGAACTTTTCTAAATATTACGTATTTTTGTATTTTCATCATTTTCATAAAGAATGTATAGATAAATTATAGTTCAATGAAAAAAAAGTCTTCATAGCTCGACAGTTCTTTCAAAATAACGACGATTTTAAGATAATCCGATGTTTTTCGAATATTTCCGAGGGTTTTCGAAAATGTCCGAGGTTTTCCGAAAATGTCCGAGTTAATCCGTTAACTTCCGATCTTAAAAATTAGATGTAATATGAACTTTTTGCAATTTTTGTGAACTTTTGACGCAAGCGAGTATAAATATTTTAAAATTTCATCTGGCAACACTGATGTGAATTGAATGTTTGATCGTTTCATAGTAATTTGCTAAAGCACGATAGAAACTATAATCAGCCCCACCGCAGAAATTTGGGAAAATCTTTTACAAATTCACATATTGACATGAATGCTGCTGTCCAGATTGCCATTTTTTTCAAGAGGGTGAAAAATTTATGAATGAATTGTAAATGTTCGGGCAAAGACGCGAGAGACATTTCAGTCATTGATGTTCAAAAGCAAGCCACCATTTTGTTAGAGATTTCTCAGCAGAAATTTACATCCAAAATCGTAAGTAAAGGACAACTGAAGTGTATGCATGAATGTAAAATATCAAAGTCAATTTATGCGAGTGTGTGATGCGATTTATGTCAATATGGCGTATGGTAAGCAGATTGATGCTTCTAAAATTGTTGTTGCCGAAGGACTTTTAGCTATGATTTCTTTAGTGCTTGGGGAATCTTGGCCGTTATATGGCCAAGTATTTCAATGGAAAAAATCTGTAGCTATAAGGTGCCATGTTATTATATACCTTATTATAAACAAATGTTTTGGGCTTTTCAGTTTATGATCATTGATCATTCAATCATTGGACAATTATACTACACATTGTTTAAGATTTGAGAAAACTAATATTGATTACATGATAGACTGTTTACTATAACTTGTGATTATGACTCTTTCTGATCCATGAAGCTTTTTATTTTGACAATTTGACTGGGATAGTATTAAACCTGAGCTATTTCACATACATGAAATGTTGTCCCATGTCACATATTGTCCCCTTTTCTAACTGAACACCTCATGTAGAGATGTCGAGGTGTGTTGATCTACGGCTCATACCAGATTGTTTGCCAAAAGGCTATTGATGTATGAAAAGCATTGTCTATAAAGTAAAAATGTCTTTCTATGTATGCAGATAAACCTTGAAATTTGGCAAAACAGCAAAGTATTTTTCATGATCACTAGGTAATTTTTCTGATTATCATTATAATTTTAAACTAAATTATTTTAGATTTACATTTTAACTAGTTTTGATTCTATGAAAAGATATTTATCATAGCCAGTAAGCTTGACACATGAACCAATTTTAACATTCATGTAATTACATGATTAAAGACATGCTGGTTACATTCTGTTTTTTTGCAAGTACAATGCTACTGGTAATTGCTATATAGCACAACTTGCATGGACTTACAGAAGATAATAGTCTACTGAAAGGCTTCATAAACTTTAATGGCATTAAGCTGTCCTTAATTGCAAAATTTCCTCTCTGATACTTATTGTTTAATCTTTGGCAGAAAAAATTTTGAATTTTTCTCAAAAGGTGAATTTTCTGCCACTGTAAGTGGAAATGGGTTAAGGGTTCAATAAACTTGCATGGTTTGAAGTCTGAGCTTTTTACATTCATGGACTGACCCTTGTAGTACCTCACTTCTAACTTAAATCATTACGAGGTGTGAATGGGGGTTACTAGGGGGTCTATGCCTGACAATTTGGTAGAAATTTTAAAGACTATCTCTGTTTTGAAATAGCATTGTTGTAAAGTAAATTTTATGCTCCTAAGCATGCTAATGAGCCTTAACATTTGGCAAAACATTCAAGTATTGTTCACTTTACAGTTTTTTTTGAAAAAAACAATGTCCACATAAAGCATTTTGTATTGCTCTAAAATGCTGAAAATGGCATTCCCAAGGCTTTGAAATTCAAAAATTTTCACTCTTCCTTGCATTGGCTACTAGTTGTATGAATTGCCCTTTAAAGTGTTAATACACAAATGAATTGAGAAAAAAGCAATTATGATTTGTGTTCTGTGGAGCACACTTCAAAAATATTTTCCACTAGGCTACCTATGCTATAAGTAACAGAATTTAACATAAAAGCCACAATGACACAATGACATCCGAAAACCTCTAATCCAAACCAAAGCACCTCATGTCCCCCCTTAAAATCATTCTTGATCCATCCCTGTCTTGAAGTGAATGCACTAAATTTATCCCCAGTTTTACATTTCACATTTTGTGTATTTGTTAAGGTGCAAAGAAAGATTGATTCCTTCTGTGTTCTAACTCAATCACTAAACTTGTAAGATACAGGGCCAGGACTCAAGTGGTAAGTTACCTTTTCTATTCTATGCATACTGTTAAGTCAAGTTAATCTTCCAATAGAAGGGATAAAACATCACCCAGATTGTAAAAAATTGTATGCATGATTAGGCACCATACCACTATCATACATAAGTCTACATACGTAAAATATGCTGGCATTGGCTAGATTTGTGAGCAACAAAATTTTATTCATGACCATGGTATCAGGGTGTCTGTACAGAGAACATGTTCATTTGAAATGTGGGTGTCCATCCATTATAGGAAAAACACCTACACTTTTAGCTTCTTGCTTTAAGTTAATGATGTTTGAATGCCATGTATTTACAGGCATCATGGTGAAAACCATTACATAATTTATTTGTTTTGTGTGTTCATCCTTAAAATGGGCATTAATGCCACAGAATATTTACATACAGGTCATTTCTAGTGATTTTTGTGATTTGCATTTGTCAAGGGAAATTTTCTTTGCTGAGTGTCAATGAATCATGTACAGTGTTAACATAAAAGTCACTCAAAGTTAAATTGAGATAATTGAATGTAACTATAGCAGAAGATAGTCAGTATTAACCAGTCAACCAACAATCAAACAAACCATGACTTTCCATTTAAACTGTGACCAAAGGCAGGGGGATGGGTGGCTAAGGAGGTTGCAGCCCCCGACTCGATTAAGATTGAGGTGCTAAGACCCCCCTCCCATTATTCAATTATTCATTGTTACAAAGAGCTTTTCAATGTTTTTTTCTGAAATAAGTTCCTGTTCAATAATGGAAAACAATTGACATATAAATGGTCTCTCATACTGTCTGTCTCTCTCATACAGAATGACCTAATGAAGCTGAAACTTTGCTTAATAGTCTGAATGCCAAGCGCCTGCTACGACGTTTCTTGTTATTTGCTACACCGCTCTATACAAAACGTCTTTCGCTGTCACTGTCTGTGATAGGAAAAGCTCTTATTGTTGGTACAACAGCGTTAAGAAAGTGGAAAAAGCAAAAAAAATCAAGGCATCTAAACATATTTTAAAATCCTGATCACGTAAGGTGCATTTGCCCAAACGTCTTTCTTATTTTTCAATAAACTGCAGGTGGTTTTCCCTTTTCTTCGGTATTTAAAGAAACGTGGTGTTTGTGTTTATTTTTCGGTATGCTAGTTACGTGTTTTAAACTTTTTTTCTTTGAAAACAGATTTTGAATTTGTTAACGATGCCTGGAATCAAGATCCGTGATGAAGATCGAGAAAAAATCCCTGCGAAGTATATATGTACTTACTGTCATCACGTTTTATCAATCCAATGCAGACCTCGTGTGGACATTTGTTTTGTAAATCTTGTATGGACATTCTTGGGTAACGTCATTTTTTATGTAGCAAATCATTTATAGAAAGTTATAGTAGTTGTCATACATGATCTTTCAATAGACACCCTGATTATGCATCCCAATATCGTATCACATATCCCAAAGTATTCCTGCGTATCATCTTGTTCAATTAAGTCGGTGCTTGCTGGTAGGGCGTCAAAATTGTTTATTAGATCATATGGTACGACTTCGGTTAAAAACTGTTGCGTAGGCGACTAGGGAGAGCTCATCATACTCATATTTTTATAATCCTAAATAACAGCTGCTTTCCTAGGAACGTAATTTATCAGAACATGCATGTACAAATATTGACCCCTCTATTTAACTGTCGAACTGGCTACGCCATCCACTCTACGAAATTGATCATTCTTGTTAGTAGTTTTTCTCTTTTTTCAATCTGTAGAAATCCTGATTTTAAATGTCCTGAAGATAAAGAAAATTTGACCAAGGAAAATGTAGGTGAATATATTGCAAAGATTTGACAGAAAATTCAATTACAGTTTTGTTGCTATCGATCATTAGCGTAGCCATCCTGCTAGTTTAGTCCTGCTTTGTAAATTGTAGTACATAATGTTTTCCATATTACAGGGTATGTCAGTTAATGAGCAAAGAAAAATTAGCATAGGACGACTAAATAAGCATGTTGGCTTAACAACTGTAATTATAATTACTCTTTGAGTTCTAAAAAATTATACATCGATGTACGTATTTTGTACTTGAAATGGTATCGCCTAGGATCATGAGATAAAATACTCCACCATGCCTAGCAACAGCGTATATACAGGTACATTAACGGTTCAGTGACCAGGTAAATTACAACAGTATCAGCTGCACAGGTAGTGTGCATGCTTTCGCTCAAAATGTTGAGTGTGCTGTTTTAAAAACCAGAAGTTTCATTGCACTATAAACAAAATTGAGGTGCGGTTTGGTGACCATGGAACAAAGTAAATGTTAAGTGATGTTGAGTGGAAATTTTGAGCAAGTTTAAACTTCACTCAACAACGCTCAACCCCGCTTAATAGCTACTACTCAACTCTCCTAAACACGGTGTTGAACATGTTGAGCTCGTTGTTGAGTCTACATGCTGAGAGCCTTTGCATCTAGCGTTAGTGCGTCGGTGAATTCTACTTCAAAAAAGTTTGCCAACAGTTCTTGTAAGAAATTTACGTTACTGTTTCATTTAACGTCTAGTGCAAACTTGCATTTGAGTGAAGTGACTCTGTCTTTTGCTACATTTATTCTTGTTTCATAAAAGATCAGTTTCCATGGATCCATCTAGGTTTTCCCGGATGCTTTTACGAAGCGTGAGTTAAAAAGGATTTAATTACACTGTCCATCTGAAGAGTGTAAATGGTTTGGTACACACGAAGAATTGGAGGTGAGTTGGGCACTGAAATTTATCAAAAAAGTGTGGCATTTTCACTTATAAAGGGATACACCGAATCTAAGGGATTAGGTACAACATCTTTCAAAATTTCGTGCTCGTCTACACCTTTCTTATTGCTTAACAGAGCACGCAATATTGACTACGTTTCTTCTAGCTTATCAATTAATGTTTCCAGTTTGGTGAGAACTGATCTTTGGAAGCCTACAAGATAAATAAGAAAATAATAGAATAACTTATGTATAACCTACGTAATATCTTAAAAATATAAAACCTTACAACATGCTAACAAGAAAATTCAAAAAAAAATCGCATCAAATTGCTAATTGAATACACATACATAATAACAACGCTTTTCAAAAACTATATACTGTAGAAAAGGTACCATTGTTTGGTTGAGAACGTCTTCCTGCAGGTGTTATGCTCATAAAACTTGTCGAAGGCGTTTCGTGCGATGAAAGGTCATACGCATCTGCAAAGCAATCACGTGATGTAATTAGTTTTGAAGAAAAAAAAACCATTTCAAACGACATGAAATGAACGTAAATGAAAATGTAACAACAAGACATGCAATAATGAATTGTAAGAAAAGCTTGCCTAAGACACCACTGTTTCGTTGAGAATGTCTTTCTCTTATTGTGCCAGTTGTAGGAATTTCTTGTTTAGAGAGGTTGCTTATATCTACAGAGAAGACACGTACTGGGTTTAACATATCTTTATGAACGCACGAACGTCATTTAAATTAAGGTACTACAAGTTTCAAAAATCAGAAAAAAAAGGTGACGAAAATAAAATCTCGAGAAAGTTTCATTTGGTAGTTTGATAGCAAATGCTGAGAATTAGATTTGAACGAATGTATTTTGATTAAATCTTGGTGAATACAACTGCAATTTTAACTATAACTAACATTTTTTCAACTAATTACAACATTTTTCGGGACCAACGCCTACAGCACCTGTAGAACATATATAAGCCCTATAATGCAACGATGGACGTAGAGAAACAGTAAATGTACAATACGAATGTAAAAGTTATTTAAAAATAATCAATCAAAATTATTTCAACATTTTAGTCGACATATTATAAGAAAGTTGCTGATTAGTCAGTTCTGATGACAGAAAACTTACCACTACGCTGAGATGGTGTCCTTCTAGTAGATGTGGAAGTTATTGCATGATCCTTTGTGTTTAGGATTTCTGGTGCTAGTTCACCGTCATATAAATCTAGATCAACATTATATTAGTATTATAAGAAAAATTTTATACATGTATGTTTCTGTCAAAAAATTGTCCACTTGTACTAGGATTATAATAGCACTTATACCTTTTTCTGCAAGGGAGATCAGCTCGCTGTACTCCGGCAAATCTAAAAAGCAAAATCACTCATTACATTTAAAGGCAATGTAACAATGTGTGAAAAACTGCACTCCTTTGAATAAAGCAATGGCCTATTGCATTGCAACTACAGTACTTACTTCTAGAATTTGTTGATAAGATTTCATTGACGGTTGAAAAGCCTGTATACAAAAGAAACTGTCTGAATTCTGTAACTTTCCATCTATCAACCTCCATTAAACTCCTAGCTTTTCGCACAAATGTAGAGGGGATAAATGGTTTAAGCTCCACTAATTTATTACTAACATCCTCTACATGGGCAACAGACATTTTAGCAGTGCGATTTCCCCTCATCCAAACCATAATCAATTTACCCATAACATGCAGACACAGTTGATGCATGTAGTAAATTGGAAATTGTTTTACCATATCAACAGGCAAGTGACCAAAAGGGCTAAAAAAGCGATGATGTTCTTCTTGTATCTGCTTTCTTAAAGAAATATTAGTGTGCAATTCTATATTATTATTTTGAGAGTAAGTCACTTGACCAAGCCACTTCCCTTTTTGTGTACACTTGTCACAACCAAAATAACCAGTACAAAGTTTTGTACCTTTAACAAGTGCTCTTGCAGGAGCATCACAAACAATGCCCCTTATTGTAACAGTCAGAACCTTTTCACCATCTTGGACTCCCCTCTCTAGAATACCCTTCAAATCTTCATTAAACTCATCCAAAAACTCCAAGTCTTTTGGCTTGGAGTCACCACATGTTAGGACAATAGGAAACACTAAAACAGGTTTGATATTCAAAAAGGCACAAAACACTGGCCATACATTTTTGCAGAACTTTTAAACAAAAGAAGCACATCAACATTTAAAGAGATTTTAAGATGATTAATGTTCTAATGCATCTTAAAACTCTATTAGCAGCAATCCAGTAATTTTTGTATTGCACCTGGTCACGTTTTATTACTATATGAACTAAAGTAAATAATAAAATGTAACTGTCACTTTATTTATTTTTGATTGATTTAAACATATCCTAATGTTACAACCCATTCCCCCTAAGTGCTGGTGATCACAACATTTAGCAAAATGTTTTAATAAAAAAATGATAATTCTCATTCACAGGTCATGGTAACTTACATGTCTCCTCAACCATTTGTAACTTATTCTCTTCTTTACATGCATGTATCATACATAATTTATACATAACCCCAAAATTTTAAGTATTACATTATAGTTTACTTGCTAATAACAGCAAATGGAAAATGTTCTAAGCAACTAAATAAAAATAATTTAACTGACATTGCAAGCTTACTAAAGAAATAGGCGAAGTTAATAAACCAATCTAAGAGATAAAAAAGTGGGTTGTAAACTACATATTGTCTTGAATGCAATAATTGGACAAACGATACTTACTAGTATTATAAAGCAACAATGCATTGTTATGAATAAACATTCAATTACCTCTTTGTAAAATTATATCACTGTTTAAAAACTGCTGTGATTTGCAATAGAAACTACAGCTATTTTAAGGTTTAAGGCTACGTGATTATTAATCAAAAACATTTTGTAAATCACATAATCACAAAACACCATGTTAAAAAATATAAATCATCACCGCTTATCAGTCAGTCAGTTAATATAATTCCAGATATGCTAAAACGTGATATTTACGTAAGATTTCAGAAAGAAAACAGAATTTTGACTATTAAATTCATACGATTATACATCGGGAATTCAATGATCACAAAAAATTGTAATCATTAAATTTGATAAGTAATTTTTGAACTATAAACATCAGTCGCGTGAATGATTTGACATACCCTATATCCGCCCCTGCATGTTATGACAATAACAACCATACGTACAGATGAATACCATATATATCCAAATGCTGTAGCAAGGTGTAGTGATAATATTATCTTTATAAAATAAAAATAGAAATTAAAACTAAGAATAAACTAAGCTTAGTAAATTTGTTTGTTCCTACACCAATATACCCAGACTCATAAAGTCACGGCTAAAGTAACATATGACAATCTCTAGATTATAAAAAATGATAAAATAAAGGTACTTACCACAGTTTTTGCGCATTGAAACATATTCTAGATCATAACTGCCTCTAAACATGGAAAGCGAGCTGTGAATTATCTTGTCTCGACAACTATGAGGCAAATTCGATTCTTGCACGAGCAATTTTCAAATGAACACGAACGCCGATATTTTACAGGTATCGAAATAATTTTGATTACAAATTGATTTAAATAACTTTACTCATCCATGACAGATATTTGAGATAAGTAAAACGTCGCCAAATGCTTTAAATATTCGAAAATCCTTGTTTGTAAACGTTATCTGCCAAACATTTCTATAGTAATTTGTACCTCTAGTGGGTAACCGGAAGTATATTTTGCATATACAATTACGCTTCACATATAAAAAGCAAAGCTCAAAATAATTCGCGATTTCGCTGCCAAGCAAGAAACCCGATGTTCATCGCAGAAACATAGCTTACATGATACTTGTAATCTTGAGATATCTGAGTATAACATTGTTTATAAAAACAAAGCTTTTGGACCACATGGAGGTGTTGTATATGTCTATATAAAAGAAACTTATTCAGTTTACAGTTCTTGACTAATTTAGTTCGACCACGTTTAATCAGGGGCGGATCTAGGATTTTTCATATGTTAGTCAAAAATTTATGACGTCATATGTGGCCTCAAATATGACGTCATAGATGACATCATACATTGTATCTTATGCAGCGATTTATAAAACTTTAGCGATCATAAAATTGCGAAAACTAAGATGAATTCCCTTTAATCAGATGATGACAGACTGTTTCGCCCAATATCAGGGCTCTTCAGCATGCCTAGGATGATGCCCCAAATTTCAAAGCATCATCCGACATGGACAGCCCTTTAAAGAGCCGAAGCCAGCAATCTGGTTATTGCATAGAATTAAATGCATGTCCTTTATACATAGGTACATCAACAATTTTATCTATAAACTAAAAAGAATTTAGATGTAGAAAGACAAAATTTAAAAAATTCTCATGATTTCAATTAAATTTAAATCTAGTGTTGCCAACAGAAAATTTATCAATTACGCGTTGCACATCTGGAAGAATTTCCTGATGAATTTTCATTAGAGCAAGACCATTTAACCGTTCCTCAACCATAGTACTCCGCTTATAATCTTTAAGAATTCGCAGCGCTGAAATCGAACGTTCACATTCGCATGAAGTTATGGGAAGGGTTCCTAATATTTGAAGTATGACCTTTATGTTTTGAAAACCATCAAAATTTATAGCTTTTAAAGTTGTAGCTACATTACATGGATAAGGACCTTTACGATGTTCCCAGAAGGATTGCCATAATAACAACTCTGCATCTAAACCTAACTGATTGGGTAAATCAGCAACATAAAATTTTGAAACAATCTTAAATTTATGTCTCCAGTCAATCCCATTTTTTATAAGAGAAAACATTTTTGTTGGAACAATACTTAGTCCTTGATAAACATTTACACTTTCCGTGTCAAATCGCGCATCCAAAGACGAGAGAAGATGGTCAATTAAAGGAATCGTATAGATTCGTTTGTAATACTCGAGATAGAACGATAAGGAGCGTTAGGCCTTGTAGTTTGCCTTCCAATTGTCCTACGTTTACATTCTTCTACCCCAACCTTTGCCGCTAACGTCAAAGCAATGTCGTACCATTGATCATGATATGAATCAATAGAATTCCTCACATGTGCAACACTGCTTTTCAAAGAAGAGATCAACTCAATCCCGTCCATAACATCAATACTCTTTCCTTGCAAAAGCTGAGTAACAGGAAGCGTTAGATCAAAACATTTCTGGTAATAACCAAGAGGGCGATAAAATGAAACTCAGAAAGACCTTCAAGCAAAGAGGATGCATCAGCAGAGAGAGAGGGACTGCCACCTTTTGCCATGTTATCCAGTGTGTCAAAATTTGAACAAACAATTCTTCGAAAGTGTCTAAACCTTTAACTCGTTCTACCCATCTGGTTCTACAAACATCTGGCAATCTAGTCTTTTTTGAGTCCGTTTCTAAACTATTGCGTACAGTCTCCTCAAACGGTATATTGCGTGTTTGAGAAATATTGATAAAATTTGTCACATCTTTTATTTTGTTAAGTACTTTCTTAACCTCAATATCTGACAAAGAATCACAAACTGACAAATTAAGCCTATGACTATAACAGTGGGTATATAATGCTTTCGAGTTGAGCTTCAAAATTTGGGCAGCCAAACCTTTAACACAACCTGCAACAGCACCCGCACCATCATAACCTTGTCCGCGACAGTCTTCAATTGGCAAGCCAAGGTCTTTAAGTTTATCTAGAATTAATTTAGCAAGGTTCTCTCCACTCAATCCCCACTTACATTGAAGAAAGGCAATGAACTCCTCTCTTATGTCCATATTCTTATCAATAAAACGTAAAATTAGAGCCATTTGCTCTCTATGGGAAGAATCTGCAGCCTCATCAGCTATAATAGAAAAGAACCTATTAACCTTAATGTCGTTGACAATCTGTTCAGTAATAACCTCTCCAAAGCACTTGATCATTTTATTCTGGCTGGTCTTAGAGATGTAACTTCTATTTTTCCCACAAGATGTTAAGTGATCTCTTAAAACACCATCGCCTGAACGAACTTTAAAATTTAGTGTCTCCACAAAATTTCCAACACCCCCGGTAGAATACTGACCAACCTCTGGATGATATTTAGCATCATCACGGTGGCCACGCAAAGGCAAACCTAAGCGACCACAAAAAAGAATGCAATCAGCAATAGAAGACAGCTTACATTTGTTCTGAACGATTTCCTTTTTAAGATTTCTTTCTAACATGAGCTCTATTGGTTGCGCAGACCCTGACATTTGAGCACGTAAGGCAAATAAAATTGGATTTGTTTGGGCATGCAACCCCTTCTTCATCATGGCGTTTAAAAGTAAATGCAGCATCATTCCAGCGTGAAACCGGTTTAGAAAACAAATTTGTAATCTTAGAAGCTTTACCAGGAAGCGATGACCAAAAGCACGCATGACAAACAAAATGCACCATCTTTTGATGGGGAGTAGCATAGCCAGTCATATTTTTTAGCCAGTCATATCTAAAGCTCTTACCACCGGTCTTAGGAAAGGAAAAATTCTCATCAGGCCTGAAAACATTTTTAATCAATTGAAGAACACCAGAAGTATCTAAGCCTTTAACTTTATCCTGGTAAGTTGCAACATCAAAATTATGCGCAGAATGATACTTAAGCGGAGGACTTAATTGGTTGTTTCAACGTGATATAAGAAGGAACTTGTTTGGCAGAAGAAAAAGTTTCATTGGGCTTTTTTTCAAATAACTTGGATGGCTGTTTTTCTGATGCAGTAAAAAAGTTAGAAATAATTGGAATATTACCAGAAGGAAATTTTGCCACCTTCTTGGAAAATAAGGAAGGCACCTTACGTTTTTTTGCTGACGTTGTGGCTTGTGTAATGTCAGCAGACTTTCGCTTGTGTGCACTTGCATGAAAAAGAAGAGGGAAAAAATGGTTAGGCTGAAATGATTCTCCAGTTCTTATGTCACCTTCATGGCAGAATAGAATATGAATTTCTTTTTCAACCCTAGTAGTATGCAAGCGGGGTTGAATAACACGATTAAATAAAAGTTTGAGCCTGTGTTGTCCACAATCCGGATAATATGTAACAATACATCTTTTCAAAACTGAAGACAGACCCAAAATACAAAGAAATGATGACCATTTACCATCATTGCAATTAAAAACAGCCTCCTTCTTCACTAAATTTTCCTTACTAGCACCGGTATCTAAGGACTCAACAGAGACAGATAAAGGTAAAAGATTTTTATACTTCCTTAAAAAATCAGGATGCTCTTCAATGGCAGACAAAAGCAGGGATGCTCACAGTAAAATGAGCATTCAGGAAAAGCTCAAGTGAGGTTAAGATTCTTAAAGTTGGAACCAATCTATCATCACCAAGCAGAGACAAAGACACGGAACTGTACAAGCAATTCCCTGAAGCTTCTGATCTAAGAAAATACATGAAGCTGATGATGAAAGAATTTTTGGGTTTGGTTCCAAAATGTTCTATATATGACATTATTTGATAAATGTATTATATAATCATGTTATAATCTTATTTA